TAGAGCCTGCAGAGGTGTCCTTATGTAGGACTTGTTAGAGCCTGTAGTATTCAAGTGAACGTTGTCTCCAGAGGGGGCACCTGGGCACACAGCTTCTCAGGCATACTTTCTAGAACAGATGAGGGGTGGTCCAGCCGGACAAGATGTGTTTGCTGCCAGGCACAACAGAACTGAGTTTGATCCCCAGGATCCATGTGGCAAGGAGAAAACTGACTCTTGCACGCTATTCTCTGGTCCCCACATTTGCACTGTGGTGTTCACCCTGCCTCCAATATTATTTTATTTTTGTTTTAATTTTCGAGACAGGGTTTCTCTGTGGCTTTGGATGCCTTGGAACTTGCTCTGTAGACTGCAAGGGCAGGAGATCTGCCTGCCTCTGCCTCCTAAGTGCTGGGGTTAAAGGTGTGCATCACTATGGCCCGGCTCCAATTTTATTTTGAAAGAATCTCCTGACCCAAAAATGCTTGGGATGGAAGTGTTTTTGTGTTTCAGGGTCTTTGGCTTGTTACCTGCTTAGATTACTAATTCTTAAATCCAAATTCTTAAATTCAGAACAGAGTCAGTGCTCCACCAGTTTTGGATTTTAGAACATTCTGGATTTTCAGATTGAGACTCCATCATGTTTTTTAAATTTATTTAATTTTTTTTATGTGCATTAGTGTGAAGGTGTCAGATCCCTTGGAATTTGTGTTACAGACAGTTGTGTGCTGCCATGTGGGTGCTGGGAATTGAACCCGGGTCCTTTGGAAGAGCAGACAGTGCTCTTAACCACTGAGCTATCTCTCCAGTCCCTCCATCATGTTTTTTTTTTATTTGTTTGTTTTTGTTTTTTGTTCTTTTCCTGAGTGTCTTAGGATTTCAGTGCTGTGAAGAGACACCATGACCACGGGAAGTGTTATAAATGAAAACATTTAACTGGGGCTGGCTCACAGTTTCAGAGGTTTAGTCCATTACCATCATGGCGGGAAGCATGGCAACGTGCAGGCAGACATGGTGCTGGAGAAGGGGCTGAGAGTTCTACATCTTGATCCACAGGCAGCAAAAAGAGACTGTGTGCCACACTCAGTGTACCTTGAGCTTAGGAGACTTCAAAGCTCGGCCTGATAGTGACACACTTCCTTCAACAAGGCCACACCTACTCCAACAAGGCCACACCTCCTAATTGTTCCCCCTCTTTGGGCTAAGCATTCAAACACATGAATCTGTGGGGCCTTTCCTATTCAAATCCACCACACAGAGACAGGGTCCTGTGTAGCCTAGGCTGGCCTCCAGCTCTCTATATAGCCAAAGATGAACTGAAACTCTAGATTCTTCTGTCTCCCTTCTGGAGTGCAGGAATTACAGGAATGCACAATTGTGTCTGGTTTCCGTGGTGCTGCGGCTCGAACCCACAACTCTGGGCATGCTCCATGAGCACTCTCCTCATGAGGTCCTATCTCCGGCCCTCCATGGTGCTTTCCATTTGACCCAGTTTCAATCTTATGAAGTCAGATAATGGCTGTTCTGACATCAGTGTGTGAGACCCTGGTGGCACAGACCAGTAGGATTTGCTGAAGGAGGCAGAGGCAGGAGGATCACGAGTTCAAGGCCAGCCTGGGCTACACAGTTTTTTTTTTTTTCAAATCATATTTGCAGGTATAAAGAACCAAAACAAACATTATTCATATGTTCATACACCCCCTGGCCCCATATACATACATGGACCCTCCACAACATTCTATTTACCTTCAGGTTTATAGCTTGGTTCTTCTGGCTTAACCAGACATTTTTGCTTTAGACAAACTATTCTTTTTCTTTGACATTTCTTTTCTTTATTATTATTCCAGTCTTTTTGCTTTCTCTCTTGCTTTTTAGACAACATAAAAACTTTCATTAAAGTCCTTCATATGGGTTCTTTCAGCAGTATAGAATATACTAAATTATTTTATAGATCTTTACCATCCTGACACGATACACTGTAATAACTGCAGTTTTCTTAATTGGCTCAAACAGCATGGCTTGGTTTTACTTTGCAAAAGTAATAAAATAAATACCAAGGTCTTTTGACCTCCCCAAAGGTTTAAGAAACTGTTTTAAATTTTTTGTTAGACTGCCCAAGGGTTATTGCTTTGAAAACCTGATAAACTTTAAATGTTTTATCACCTTAAGTATATAAACATTTTTTAAAACTAGTTTTTGCAATATCAAAACAAAGTATCTTCTTTAGGAGTGAATCTACAGAGCATAACCATAAGACCAAAATTTATCAGTGCAAACAATTTAATCTTTAGAACCAGAAGTAGCTCCATCCCTCCGGCCCCTGTCCTAGAGCTGGCACTGACTGAAGCCCATGGGAGGAGGGATGGAAGGAGGAAGAGGGTGGGGTGAACCGCTGCTCAGCAGCTGGAGGAGGCAGGTTTTAGGCCAATTCTGAGGGTGTGAGCATTCTGCCCAGCCAGTTCTCCGAGCTCCATCCCAGCCTGAAAAGTAGGCCACTCTGAGGAACAGAAAGTTTGTCCTTTTCCCTTTTAAATTTTAACTGAGAGGTTATGTGCCCTATATCTCAAGGGTGAGGGATAAGGGTGTAATCACAGTCTATCCCATAATAAAGTCGTCCGTCAAGAAAATCAAAGAGGAAACATCGATAGAGACAAAGAGAACAAGACAGGCAATTAGACAAGGATGCCCTTACGGATGGTACCACAGAATTCTGACTGAGAGGCTGCCTCAAGGTGGCCATCTCTGACAAGAAACAGATGGGAGGAGGACCATCCCGGTCCTAGCCTCCCAAACTGAAGCGTCCTCCAGTTCCCAGTCAAGCGATATTCTGACACGTCTGTCTATCGCAATGACTGATCAGACAACCAAAAAAAGGTCCAGATAGGCGCCTAAACAGAAATGGATTGGTACCACAGAAATTCTGACACATCTGTCTATCGGAACGACTGATCAGACGACCAAAAAAGGTCCAGATAGGCACCCAAACAGAAACAGATTGGTAAGACAGAAACAGACTAACCTGTTCCGAGCTCAACCTCCGAGTGAACTGGTGTGCTTTGATGATGTGTTGAAGGCTCTGAAAGTCAGAGTTTCACATAAGGGACAGAACCCAAGCATGTGTGGCCACAGTGCTCTTCCTACGTTGCCCTGGGGCCCAGGGTTCAAGACCCCAATTCTTTGCCCTTCTCCCAGCCCATGGCGTGCTGTGCTTTGGGGAGGGTGAGCTTCAGCTATGTGCCACCACACCTAGTTTATGTCCTTCAGGGAGGGAAGCCAGGCAAAGACTCCACCAAATGAGCCACATCCCCAGCATACTTTATTTAACTTAGTAATAGCAAGAACAACTTTACTTAAATATTTAATTACTCCAGCACTATTATTGAAAAGTCTTTCTGGTCTCTACTGAGTCTCCTTTGAACCGTTGTCAAACATCTCAGTTAACCACACATGGGTCATTCCCAGGCTGAAACCTGATTGGCTGGCATTTAATTTTCAAGATTCTCATGCCATCTGGGCCTTGCTATGCACCTGCAGAGGACAGAGATTAAGGCCCACGTTTTGCAGTGCATGTCTCAGTTACCTTTCTCACTCTAAAAAATACCCGATACAAGCAACGAAAGGAGGGAAGGAAGGGTTTGTTGGCCAAGTCTGGAGCTGCAAGGGCATGGTGGGGAGCATCAGGCAGCTGGTCACACAGCATCCCAAGTCAGGAAACGTCTTTTTACTTAGCCTAAGACTCCAGCCCAAGGGATGGTGCTGCCTACGCCTAGTGTGGTTCTTCCCACATTAGTTTGCCCAGCTTAGAAACCCCTCACAGACATGCTTGGAGGTGTGTGTCTAGGTGACTCTAGATCCTGCCAAGTAGACAGTCCAGATGGCCTGTCACAGCATGGCAATGTGGGTTCCCTCAGAGCACTGTGAGCGTGTGAGCGGCTGTTGGAACGTTCTTTGAGGAAGTTGTATTGGGAGATGTGTGGACCCTGAGATAGAGCCGAGCTGGGGTGAGCCATTTCCCTAGCCCTGGAATTCCAGGTTGGCTCTCACAGCTTCCTCAGTGCTATGTACATCAGGCTGTCACAGCAGGCCTGTGCGGGGGTGTCAGCAGACATGCCTCACCAGTAAACACTTCCTGTGGGTCTGAGCACGCTGCAAGGAGCTGGCATACCACAGTGCATTCCACAAGCGTCGGCATCACCGTACCACAATCCAGCACTTCTCACTCAATGGTGTCTTCATTCCTCACTCCTCCCCAGGCTCCATTACGGTGTCCACCGCCTCGGCCATGCTGAGCTTCCTCCTGCAGGACAAGCATGAGGAGACAGGGGGCAGCAGCTTGCACAGGGTGGCCTGCGCCCTCGCCCAGAACTGTAGCCAGGACTTGCCGGGAAAGCTCCAGCTGAGAGGGCGGTTGCAGACCTACTCCGGAGCCGCTGGGGGCCAGGCCAGCATCCACGGTGACTCGACCAGCCTGCCCCTGAATGGGACCTGCTCCGGGGACCCCGGGCACAGTCAGCTTTCGGGCAGCTTGACTCACAGCTGCAGCCCACTGAGTGACCCAGGTAGGAGGGTCCATCTGCCGAGTGGCTTCTCTCAAACTCTGAAGTCCTGAAACCCAGGGCAGGGCGTAAAAGCGAACTCTGTGGCTCCTGACCCTGCTGGGACCTATGCTTGTGGGACAGATCTGGCCTCCTGCTCTCGTTCCTTTTTGGATGCCTGGAGAGGCCCAGATGTCTCGGCAACAGCAGATACACTGCCAATCCAGTCCCTTGTTCGAACACTTGGGCAGAGATCCCATGGGGACAAAGGTCTGACCCTGGATATGGACAGGAATTGCAGTCGGTGGCTGGATCAGATGAAATCACCACTTCTAGGGGACAGGAAAATTTGTATGTGGCACACCTGGAGTCTTTGGGGACAGCGGGACCCCAGGATTCCTATAGAACTCCAGCTTCCACCCTGACATAGCGGGTTTGTGACAGGCCCTTTTATACAGTCTCATTCCTCCATCTACTGTCTCGCCTGTAGGGACCCGAGGGACAGGTGCCCAGGAGTCTTCCAGCCACTCAGCACTGTGGAGTGTGAGCTGCCATCCCAGTGCCAGCCTTGACTCCTCAGCCACAGGCTTTGAGGCCAGCCACATGCCCTGGGGCCGCCCATTTTCCATATATGGCCATGGTCACATCCAGGTGGGTGACAAGCGATCTGGACCAATGTGCAATAGGCAAGGGACCTTGCAGGCTAAACAAATGAAGTAGTTGTTTTTCCTGCTGCTGGCTCAGGGTTTTAGTACACAGTCTGTGGTGGCAGGGAGGGCACAGAGGCATGAGGCAGCTGGCCACGCTGCATCCACAGTCAAGAAGCAGAGAGATAAACGCTGGTGCTCAGCTCACTTCCTCCATTTTATTCAGTCTGGGAGTTCAGCCTAGGGAATGCTGCTGCCCGAATTTAGATGGTTCTTCTCACCTCAGCCTAGTCTAGAAATTCCCTTGGGGACATTCCCAGATGCCTATCTCTTTGCTGCTTCTAAATCCTAAGAGGTTGACAATGGCTAGCAACTACCACAAGGAAGCCACCCACTATCACTCACATGTTCGTGAAGAGTGAAGCCAGGCTTGGAGGAGCAGGCTTATCATCCTAGCTATTTAGGAGGCTGAGGCAGGAGGATTGCAAGTTCAAAGACTCTGTCTCAAGAGGAAAATTTAAAAGAGGGCTGTGGTTGTGCCTCAGTGATAGAATGCTTGCCTCGATTACGTGAGCCCCACCCGGGTATCCACCCCACATGCATGCACACCCCTCCCCCCCACACAAGAAGAGTCACCTTTGTGCCTGTCACAGGCCTGGTCAAGCATGCAGATTTCTATGCCTGTTTCCTCATCCGCAAGGTGAGCTGTTGGCAGCCACTGCCTCCTGTAGAGGCTGAGGTGAGGAACCTTTTAGAACAGTGCCTAGCCTGTAGAGACCTGTAGGAGTGGCTGCTGCAGCCGTGTGCCCTGTCTGTAGGAACTGTTTGTCCACGTTGGCCTCGCCGCAGGGCCGTAAGTGTGAGTATCTGCATACAGGTGCTTTCTTCAGGGTCAGTTTAGGGAAGAAACTACCACCTTCCCCTGTTGTCTCCACAGGTCTGCTGTGGTGCAGACACTTTGCCTGCCCAGCTGTTGGGGCTGTGCTAGGGGAACACGGAAAGGTGGCCTCTCCAGGCAGCAGGGTCTGACTTGGGTAGGGTAGTGAGCCATGGGGCCAACACCAGAGGCTAACACTGGGGACTGCTGGTAGGATAGTCTAGGGCTGGAACCCTGGCTGAAGTGACTTTTGTGGCCCTTGTCCCCGATCTCCTCTTATTCCCTGTAACATATCCTGGTCTTCATCCCCATGGGCATGGTTCCTCTTGTAGTCCGAGATGCCTGCAGTCCTCTGTCAGCTCAGAGCCTAAGGGCTTCTTGCCAGCCCCTGCATGGCAGCCAGTGGTGGGCGCTCTAAGCATCACGAGTCAGGTAGACTCCAGGACTCCACGTGCACCTTCCCTGGCCGTGTGCGGGTGAGGAAGATCTACAGATCAATGTGCTAAATGCAGGGTAGCAAGTGCCCTCTCCCAATTCCTGGGCCCAGGACCCAGGCAGAGGGTAAACTGCACACAGTTGGGACTGCCTGCCAACCTTATGAGGGCTTGCTAGGGAACCTGGTCGCAAGCGTGTTCAGGCTGTAGGGGCTTCCCCAGTGAGCCTGGCTCTGAGGGACACTAAGCTGTGGGAACACAGGTGCCACTGTTCCTGCACATACAAGGCCCACTGGAGGAGCCTGCAGAGGTCTGGCATGCAGCCCACAGTGAGGACAGGCCAGCAGAGCTGGTCACGATGTGGGGCCTCAGAGCTGGGGAACCCCCTGCACTATAGAGTCAGGCATACGTGGGGCTTTCTGTGGCACTGTGGTATGAGTGCCATTCTGTCTAAGCTTCCCATGTGCTCACAGAGAGAACATCTCACAGCACTGTGTGGGTTGGTTTTGTTTTTGGGGTTTTTTTTTTTTTGTTTGTTTTGTTTTTGTTTTTTCGAGACAAGTTTTCTTTGTGTAGTCCTGGCACTCACTCTGTAGACCAGGCTGGCCTAGAACTCAGAAATCTACCTGCTTCTGCCTCCTGAATGCTGGGATTAAAGGCTTGTGCCATTATGCCCAGGCCCTGGGACTGTGTTTTTAAAGTGTGAATCTGAGTCAGGGAAATTGTTTAGTGGTATCAATCTGGCAGGTTGGGAGCAGCCTAAGACCAGGTGTGCCTGGGTGATAGCAACAACCCTGGTCCACAGCCAACACTGCAGACGTCTTCGGCCAGGAATGCCATCCTAACCCTTATCCTTGTCTCTCTCAGTCATGGGGGAGGAGATTTTACCTAAGGCCTGAGACAGGTGAAGGAGGTACAGGAAGGGAGAATGTGTTACTGCAAAGGCTAGTAGGCTTCTCTGCAGAGCAAATAAAACAAGAAAACCTGCCAGGCATGGTGGTCGTTAATCCCAGTACTCAGGAGACAGAGGCAGGTGGATCTCTGTGAGTCCAAGGCCAGCCTGGTCTCTATAGTGGGTTCCAGAACAGCCAAGACTACACAGAGGAGTCCTGTCTAAAAAAGGAAAGAAAGAAGGAAAGAAAAAAAAAAAAAGGAAAATCTTGAGCTGGAGAGATGGCTCAGAGGTTAGGAGCACTGGTTGCTCTTCCTGAGGTCCTGAGTTCAATTCCCAGGAACCACATGGTGGCTCAAAACCATCTATAATGAGATCTGATGCCCTCTTCTGGGGTGCAGGCATTGTATATGTAATAAATAAATCTTAAAAAGGAAAATCTTGGGAAAATCATGGGAATCTCCCAGTCTCCCATAGGGGACAGCAGCCATTGGCAGTAGTTGATGAAAGAGCAGAGCCATATTCTAATAAAACTTTATTAACACGAACAAGTACAGGAGCTAAGCAGCCCTAGGCTTGTGGACCTAATAGGGCATCTCCCTCTTCCCAGGCTCACTCTGGCTATTGTCCCTGAGTCCCAGGCCACTCTCTGTACTCCCCTTCCCTCAAGGGAATGTTTGACTTCAGGCCTGCTCTTTCCATCCCTTTGACTTCAGGCCTGCTTCCATCCCTTGGTCCTGAAGTCCCTGGAGGTCTGGGATGTGGCCAGCTTGGGATGGTCCATCCTTACCATGTCCCTGCAGGTCTCTGTGGATGTTCATGATGGTGACGCCAGCTTTGAGCACTCCATACCTATCTCGGCAGGCCCTACATCCATCAACTACTCTGTGAGCTACTGGGCACACGAAGGCCATCTGGAGCTATGGGGCCACGGCCAACATGACAGTGAGGCCCTGCTGCAGGCCGGGGTCCCTGGTGAGGCTGATCTACAGGCTGAATTGCGGATGCATGGTGAGCTTAGGTCCAGAGCGCAGCATCCCCTGGGCCCAGATCTAGTTCCAGCCTTGACCCAGGCAGACCTGGCTTACCCTGGGCTCTGGGAACACCAAGTCAGCCTGGCCTCCAGGAGCTACTCCTGAGAGGTACACAATTTCCCAAAGTAGGGGGCTAGAAACAGCAGGAGTTTTACTCTCTGAATTCTGGCCAGACATTGAACACAGCACTGGTGGCCTGATCTCCCTCCAGTGGTCCTAAGGGATCTCTTCTGCTAGCTGGGTGTCCCCTAGCCACACATATCATTCCAGCCTGTCCTGTCTGCATGGGACCACCTTCCTTCTTTTATTCTCCTACAAGGGCAGTGGTATTGGGTTCAGATCCCAACACTTCCATTGTTACTTTGTTTGCTTTAGTCACACCTGTAGAGCCCATCTTCTAATCAGGTCATACAGGTATGACAGGTAAGATTTTAGAGTGGGAACACAGGTCAACCCTAAGTGAGGGGGAGGAGAAGGTAAGAGCCAGCAGGGAGGGAGCACTGCGTGCCTGCCAGGCAAGCTTTCTGCACTAGTGTGCCACCGTGACTGCCGCTCTCTCATCCGCTGGAAGTCAGCTCTGGAAGGGCCACTGTGAGCCACTGACGGCCACTTAGAGAAGGGAGGGTTGGGTGATGGGAGAGTAGAGGCAGCAGGGGCTTGAGGCAGCTGCTCACATCTCAGCCACAGTCAGGAAGCAGGGGGATGGAGACAGCCACTCAGCCTGCTGTCTCTTCTGTCTGGTCTGGGACCCCAGCCCACGGGATGGAGCCGTCCACTCTTAGGGGGGATCTTCCCACCTCTGTTTGCAATTCTAGAAACTTTCTCATGGGTGTGTCGAGAGGCTTAGCCCTTTGGTAATGCTAGATCCTGTCCAGCTGGCAGCCCATATTAACCAGCAGAGCCTCAGAGCACCAACACCTCACTGCCCTTCCAGCATTTCTCCCTGTTCCCTCCTTTCCTTCTGCAGACAAGGGGTGGAGGGTCAGAGAGGCTGAGTCACTTGTCTCAGGCCACACAGCTAGTTTATAATAGTGAAGCCAGGCCTTGAACTCAGGCAGTCTGATTTCACGTTCTGCCTTCCTCTGTCCTCCAGATAGATGCAGGGGCCTGGCTCTGAACCCTGGGTAGTTTCCCTGTCATCTGCATCATTTTCCTCTGGTCTCAAATGTTGCCATCTTTGTTCATCCTCCTGGGGGATAAATAGAGGTTTGCTCACACTGAGGGCTGAGACCACTCACGAGCTGACATTGGGCTTGCTGGGGTGTATATTAGTTCCCAGGAGCACCCTCTCCCTTCCCCCACTGCTGTCTGTATCTAGCTGTCCCAGCACACAGTGATGCTTTCTGTTTATTGGTGTCCTGGCAGCTAGGTGTCCCCAAGCACGAGACCCATGTCCCTTCCCTTCCCTTGCCCTACCATAGCAGACATGTGTCGCTGAATGTGGGATAATGCAAGAAAAAATGTGTCACTCACCCCTGTGCACTCCCCCTCCAGCTCCTCTGGGTGTGACGTCACCTGGGCGCCTTCTTGAGGTGGGTGGGCTGCAACCATTTTACAGATGAGAAAATCAAGGCTTGGGCTTCGAGGCATTGGCCGCCCCCTGGGCTCAGACCTAAGCTGTGCACCTCACCTTGCATGACTCCAACTTCTGACACGCGGTAGAGCATGACCAGGGTGCCTAGGCTGCTGTGCCCTGTGCTGTGGTGAAGACGCCCAGCAGGGACGGGCGGCAGGCAGGAGCTGGCAGGACTTCTCGGTGGAAGGTCTAGGGAGTACCTTGTGATAGATGAAATCATGGGGGCTTGGATTGGAGCGGTGACCGGCTAGCCCGAGGCCAGTCAACCATCCCTCCTAGGCCTACATGGTAGCGTTTTCTGCCAATGTCCATGGGTTGCAGCACACCCCCATTTCAGTCTCTGCTGCATTCCTGGCCTGGGAGGGAGGTGAGTTCAAGTCCCCACAGCTCTTGTCATTCTGCCTTTAGAGACCAAGACCTGGGCCCACGTGGCCCTCTGCGGCAGGAACTGGGTCAGTGTGGATGTGACGGCCCTGCTGGCTCGGCTGCCGAATGGCACTCTGGAGGCGACGGTGAACAGTAGCCACACAGTGCAAGCTTTCCAGAGACTGGGTCTACCCTTCAGCAGCCAGGTGAGGGCCCACAGGGCCAGGAAACCACCTCCAAATGCGTTACCTCCCATCCAGTGTGTGATGGGAGGAGTGACAGGTGGTCACTCACTTTACAGCTTACAGAGGCTCTGTTAAAACAGCTGCAACAGACAGACAAGGAAACTGTTGTGGACAAGGTGTGGTAGCACAAGCCTTTAGTCCCAGCACTCAGAGGCATGGGGGCCTCTGACTTCAAGACAGGCCTAGTCTACAGAGGGAGCTCCAGGCCTTCAAGTCTGCACACAGAAACCCTGTCTTGAAAACAAAACAAAACAAAAACACAACAGTTATAGCCCATGCCTACCAAGCAAACCCTTTCAGCCACAGACCTGGTGTCTGGCAGCCATGTTCCAGCTCCTGGCCAGGATCCTCTCTGCTCATCCAGTAATGAATCAGAGATAGAGTCCAGCTTCCTTTTGCCAAGGAGACATGGCTCAGAACTATGAGCATTGCTTAGCACCGCAGGCAATACTCAGTGCCGTGAACAGTACTCAGGCCGTTCTGCTTCCTCTCATCCTTCTGACCCTCACTGAGGTGCACATCCATCTTGAGCCGATGCCCCTCTGTGCCCCCAGTCTCCTTATGTGTGACATGGAGATAGACAATGTTCCTTTACATGTAGCTGTGTGGATCAAGGTTGTGAGCTGAGGATGTTAGAACACCACGGGCCGTGATGATGTTGGTGATGGTGACAGGGCCATCACTGGCTCTTGTAACTGTTTGGTGCCAATTATAATGGGACTTTCTTGGATCACGGCCTCCCAATAATGACACAGAGACCTTTTATATTCATACTTGGCCTTAGCATAGGCTTGTTCCCAACTAGCTCTTACCTTAAATTATCCTTTATAGTAATCTATGTTCTACCATGTGGCTTGTTTCCTTTCCTTGGTCTCTCACTCTGGCACCTGTTTCTTCCTCCACATCCAGCTGGCAAATCTCACCTCAAATTCCTGCTCAGAGTTCCTCTTTCTGTCCTGATGTCCTGCCTCTTCTCTTCTGTCCTTGCTATAGGCCGGTCAGCTCTTTATTAAACCAATCAGAAGTTGTTGGAGGGAGTGTTTACACAATATGATGTGGCCATAGGAATGAGAATAAAGTCCAACCTGTACTCAGCTCTCTGCTGGTACAGAAATCAGCGTTTGAGTAATACAATGACATCTTTACACAGTGCACAAAAGATCACCCCATCAGTCTCTGGGTCACACATGAGGTTTAGACTAATTGCTCAAAGTCATGCAGCAAGCAGGCAGTGGGGTGAGAACTTGAATCGGGGTTTCTGTGATCCCCTCCACAAGGGGCTGCACCATTTCTCGAGTCTCTGTACTCATGGCCCACCTTATGCCATTGTCTTTGTCCCACACTTCTGATGAGAGGAGAGGGCAGTTCCTAGTGGTCCCCCTTATGTAGAGTTTGGACCCCAAAACTGAGCAGACCAAAATCCCTCTCTCCCCAGTCCATCTGGATCTTTGTTTGTGTCTGGCTGCAGTGCGTGCTGGGACCACCTGAGCCCTGCCTGTGAGCCCCGTGTCCAGGGGCAGCCAGGAGCCAGTGCCTGCAGGCTAGAGCAGGGTCTTGCTTCAGGGGTATGGATCACAGAGGTACTCAGCTGATCTCCAGGGTACTCAGCACTCCTAACACTCTGTGTCCTGTTCTCTCTCCCCCCCCTACCTCAGTTGCTATTCCGAGAACTCTGGACCTTGGAAGACATGACTTCATCCCTGCAACTCACTTTTGACAGCCAGGATATGCTGGTTCTCCATGTCCATGGCCAGAACCATGCCAATAGGTGGGGCTCTTGACAGTTCTGGGGGTTGCCCAGGTGTGGGGAAACTGGGGACAGCCAGCAAGTGGGCACTGATGGGCACCAATGAGGCATGGTGGCTCCCCAAACCACCACAACCCACTGAGAAGAGAGAATGAGAGACTCAGAGATACAGAGAGGCTTTTCCAAGGTCATATAGCTCTTAACATTCCTGATTTCTGGGGCAACACAAATGGGTTCTCAGTCTTCGTCTGTCTGTCTCTCTCCAGCCACTGGTCTTAGTAGACTGGTATAGCGCTTAGGACTGTTTCCTGTTAAGTGGAGTGTGGGTTATCAGCTGCCCTTCTTGAACTCAATCCCCACCTTTTGATTCTCAGCTGGGGGAGGCTTTGCACTGTCTGGAGACATTTCTGGTTGCTAAGCCAGGAGATGACGGCTGTAAAGATCATGACCCCACAGATAAACAACTGGTGGAAGGGTTACATAGAGGGTTCCTGGGAGGAGGCTGAGGTACATAAGTCCTTCCACCCACACCCGAGGGCTCCTGCTATGCAAACCAAAGAGTTTGGGCCCGTGGAAGACACACAGTCCAGAGCCAATTTCAGCCCTTTATAGGGAAACTCAGGTTGAGGGGTGTAAGGTGGGGAACTGGCTCCTGGTGCCAGAGCTGGGTGGAAGCTGCCCCCGCCCATGGGACCATGAGCCCCTGGTGACTGTGACCACACTTGGATAGACCACCCACGTTTGGGGCTGTCTGACCCTCTTCCTGGGGAGTGTGCTGAACTGGGTGACCTGGTGCCAGCTCTAGTTCTCTTCCCTTGCTTCCAGCACGGAGCTGCTGCTGTGGGGCTGGGACCGCCCCCCCTCCTTCCTGGGCTGCTGTCCCCACTCAGCCCCTTCCACAGCCAAGGTAATGCCCCAGCACCCGAAGCTCCTGAGTAGCTCCAGGCTGCCCCAGGCACTCCTGAGCAGCCTGAGCTACGGTGTGTGTCAGCACCTCCATGTATGTCCTCCATGTCTGTCGGAGCCTGCAGTAGGCCCCAGTGAGCCACTACCCCCCACCAAAAAAACAAAACAAAAGAAAACAAACAACAACAACAACAAACCCCACCCAACTCTGGCTCCCCCTCTGGCTTTCCTAAACATCTGTGTTTACATTCCAAGGGACCCAGGGGACTCTGGGGAGTTGGGAGGTCTGCCTGTTGTCTGATACCCCCCACCTCCACCACCACCCCCGACCTGGCATGCCCTGAGCAGATGCCCCAGCCCTTCCCCTCCAGCAGAGCCAACGCTGCGCCCCTCGTCCTGAATGCTTTACAGGGAGGCCTGGGTAAGTAGGGTGGCTTGTTAGATGATGGCTGACGGCTGCCTTCACATTGTCACTGTATCCTTGTCTGTCGCTAGTTCCCAAATACGGAGCTCCTACAGGGAATGCCAGCCCTTGGCACAGGGACTAATACAGAATGGCTGCTTGGTAAAGACAGTTAGTGATGAGACCTGCCAATTGGCCAGTACTCCCCCACATCCCATTTTCTCCTCTCCTGCTTCCTCCCTATTTTCACCCTTCCCTCCCCATCTCTCCTGCCTGTACATCTTATGTTAGGCCTGGCCCAGGGCCTCATGCCCGCTAGCCAAGATCTCTACCACTGAGCTGTAAACCTCCCACCTCAATTCCTGGCCATTGCATTTTCCTACCAGCCACCAGGCTTTGTTCAATGCTGTCCTGGTCATGTCCTGGCTTGCCTTTGTTTATAGAGTGCTGGCTGTATACAGCCCTCTCCTGTTTTCACAGCACTGTAGTCAAAGGAAACCGTCTTAGTTTTTTCTCCTGTTACTTAGACTGCTTCGCCTCACAGGAAAATTACCATTGATGTGGCTCAGTGGGTGAAATGCCTAACACACCCAAAGCCCTGGGTTCTAGCCCCAGCACCCCATAAGCCAGGCATAGATGTCACCCTGACACTAGGGAGGTAGAAGCAATAGGACTGGAAGGTATTGGTCAGCCTCAGCAGCATAGTTCATTTCAGGCCAGCATGGGCTGCATGAGACCCTGTTTCGATCAAAACAGGGTCATAGTGTGACCGTGTCATAAGCCAGACAAAACCGATTTCAGTGTGACTGAGTTAATGAGGCTCTATCTTTACTACTAAAGACTTCAAGTTCTTTGTAGAACAAGGATTTTTACATAACACAGTATGATTACAAATCAGCATGTTTAGTTCCTTTGAGATCTAGTCTTATGCAGCCCAGGTTAGAACTTTCTTTTTAACTGAGTGCTTGGAACACAGGTGTGTACCACTACACCTAGGTTATGGAAGGCTGAGGAGTGAACCCTGAGCTTCTTGAATGCTACCAATTGAGCTACATCCGCAACCCCGGTTTTTATTTTGAGACCATCTGTTTATGCAGCCCAGGCTGGTCTTGAACTTACTGTGTAGCCCTTACTAATGCTGAACTTACCACTACTCTCTCTTACTCTTCCTGCCTCAGCTTCCCCAAGTGCTGGGGTTACAGGTGCACGCCATCAAGTCTGGCATGAACCTGAATGCTGAAATAACACTTGGATAATAAAGGTCCCCAACTCTTCAGTAAGGTCTTTTCAAACATTCAGCCCTGAGTTCAAACCCATGGCAGGACCCAGAGCTGCACAGAATGCTTTGTACCATGCGACTTTTATTTCACTACACTTGAACAGAAGTCTACAAACTGTGACATAAAAAGTTAGAAAGCAAGCTTAGGGGTGTGGGATATGAGCCACAAGCCTATCCAGTCTCTGGTACAGCCACACAGTCCTGTCAGTATAGGACACTGGCTACTATGGTCAGTATGTAAATGTTCAAACAAGACTGATAACAATCTAAAGGGGGTGGGGGCTTGGAGATAGTGCAGAGGACCTGGGTTTGGATTCCCAGCACCCAGAAAAAGCCAGGCACAGTCAGGTATGATGGTGCATTCCTTCAATTCCCGCACTTAGGAGGCAGAGACAGGAAGATCTATGTGAGTTCAAGGCCAGCCTGGTCTACAAAGTAAGTTCCAGAGTAACCAGGGCTACATAGTAAGACTTTTTCTCAGATAGATAGATAGATAGATAGATAGATAGATAGATAGATAGATAGATAGATAGATATAGATGAGAATAGATAATAGGTAGGTAGATGACAGGTGGTTGGTAGGTAGGTAGGTAGATAGATAGGCAGGCAGGCATAGATAGCAGCACACACATATAATCCAAGGGTGGGTGGGTGAAGACAATCCCTGGAGCTCACTGGACAGCCAGTTCAATCAACAAACTCCAGGTTTAGTGAGAAACCTTGTCTCAAACACAAGGTGGAGAATGACTGAGGAAAAATCTGACATCAGTCTTTGGTGTCCACACACGCGTGCATGCGCACATACATGCCCGAAATGAAATTTTCTTTACCAATTGGTTGCAGGCCAAGTCGATCTGAATGCCGACTCTAGATCTAGACTCTCCTATCCCTTCCCTGTGTAACCTGGCATTTTTATTACCGCTTTAATTTTTATGTGCATGTGGGTGTAGGTGCCTGCAGAGGACAAAAGTGGGCATCAGGTCCCCTGAATGACAGGTGAAGCTATCTGACAGGGTTTGGACACCAAGCCTGGCTCCCCTGGAAGAGTAGTGTGCACTCTGAACTTCTGAGCCACGCCTCCAGCTCCCCAACATTTTCCTATGAAACTTTTCAGATACAAAAGTGAGACAACTTTTCATCAGCCTGTCTATGCCCACTGCCTAGACTGTGCGTGTCATCTTTCATCGCTAAGCTTCTTTCAACGCCCTCATTTGCCATTCCGGTGTGCCGAGGCAGTCAGCCCACAGAAGGCCTGTTCGTAGTTTTTGATTGTTTGTGAGAAGCCGCTTGAACATGCTGGTAGGGCCTCTGAGCTTGTTGGAAGCACTATTTTAAAGTTTTAGTTATTTTATTATTTTCTGTTATGGGTGTTTTGCCTGCAATATGCGGTGAGCACCACATGAATGCCTGGTGCTTTCAGAGGCCAGAAGACGGCACGGCCTCCCCAGCGACCAGAGTAGCTGACAGGTGTGAGCAAGCATCCTTCTCTGTAAGATTAAATGGCCAAGGCTCAGGAGGCCGACAATCTAGCGTCAATACCATAACCCTGTCTAGGAGAGCCACCCTGGCCAACTCTACCTCACTGAGCATTGTCCTCGTGTAACCCTGCCCTCTGTGGTCACAAGTGGTGCCACAACAGGATCTCTGTCTAAGCCAGTCTGCAAGTTAATGTCACAACCTAAGAGCATGAGGAATTTTGCCAGTGTTGCGCCACAGGGCAGGTAGTAGGTAGGCCCTACCTCTCCTCAAGACCCTTACTTCATCAGAGTTTGTTCATCCCAGGGTTTGTTCATCTGTAGGGCCCTGGGTCTGGGGCTCTGGAAGGCAGAGCTGAGGCCAAGCATCATCTGGCTGAGGGTGGTATCGCCTACACTTTTGCCTTCACTAGCTCCGGTTCACCAAGGATGAGACGAAAAGCACCTTTGTCCTAGAGGTGGGGGAGTGCCATTTCCATGTCAGCAGCAGCCTGCTTGCTGCTGAGGATAGCCTAGCCAATGTCATCCAGCTGCAGCAGGCCTTCCCCCAGGTGGGTAGCCTCCTAACCGAGAAAAGCTGCCTTCAAGACTTCATTTCCGTGGGGACAGAACAAGATGGGCTCTGAAGGAGACAAATGGATGGAAGGGACCCTCGGACCCATGTCTCACCTCTATTATCTTTTGATCTTCTCCTAGATCCTAGGCACTGCTCCAGAAGATGGGATATAGCACAGAACAGAACTACTGAGCCCTGACTGTCACTGAATATATAATCTAGTGGAGGCAGGTGATAGGAATCATATAAATTATATATATATATATATATACATATATATATATACACATACACACACATATATACGTATATGTATATATATATACATATACGTATATATGTGTATTTATGTATGTATATGTATATATATATGTGTGTATTTATGTATGTATATGATTAGGAGGTCAGAAAGTGTCACCTGAGGAGGTGACATTTGAGCTACCCTATACGACAAGCAAGTCTGTGGAAAGAGCATTCCATGCTAAGGGCCTGGGGTGGGAATGAGCCTGAGAACTATCTAGAAGTCCCTGAGCTGGAACAGGCAGGCTGAGTGGGGATGGCAAGAAGAGGTGCTCTTTGCAGGTGCTAGGCCATGTCACACAGACTGGATTCTGCCTTCCTCCCAGGCTCAGGGAAAATGTCAAGTTCCTGGGCCCAGCTTTTTTGGCTTTGTTGGTTTGCTTGTGGGGCTCCTGTCCCCTCCAGGTCCTTCTATCACCCCCTTCTTCCATAAGACTCCCTGCACTCTGTCCAAAGTTTGGCTGTGAGTCTCAGCATCTGCTTCGATGCCCTGCTGGGTGAAGTCTTTCAGAGGACATCTGTGGTAGACTCCCATTCTGTTCCCTCTCTTCTACAACTTCTAGTGTCTATCCTGTCTGCCATTCTGAATGATAACTAAGCATCCTCCCTCAGGTCCTCCTTGTTGTTTAGCTTCTTTAGTTTTTTGGATTTTAGTATGTTTATTCTATACTTTATATGGCTAATGTAAGGATCCAGGCAGTCCTGATGGGACCTGATAGGCTAGGGTCAGACAGTAGGGGAGGAGGACTTCCCCATCAGTGGACTAGGGGAGAGGGATTGGGGAGGGAGGGGGAGGGAGGGTAGGGCCAGGAGGAGATGAGGAAGGCACTACAACCAGGATATAAAGTGATTAAATTGTGAATATAATAAATAAATAAGAAGGAGGGAAGGAAGGAAGGAAGGAAGGAAGGGAGGGAGGGAGGGAGGGAGGAAAGGAAGGAAGGAAGGAAGGAAGAAAGAAAGAAGGAAGGAAGGAAAGAAAGAAAGAAAGAAAGAAAGAAAGAAAGAAAGAAAGAAAGAAAGAAAGAAAGAAAAAAAGAAAGAAAGAAAGAAAGAAAAAGAAAAAGTCAGGTCCCTGTAGCTGCTGTGCTGAGATTGGCCTGCAGGTGGTAGTAAAGAGACAAGACTAGGCAAGAAGGTCTCTTAACCAAGGAGGAGCTTGCCTGAGTGTCCCAGCACTAGGGAGGATGTCATGGGTTACAGGACAGCCTGGGCTACACAGTGAGACAGGAAAGGAGAGAGAAGGAAGGGAACAACGGGCGCTGTTATTCTAACCTCACTTCATAGACAGGAAACAGGCTGAGAGGTTAGGAGCCCTGCTCAGGACCATGCTTAGTGTCTGCAGAGCTGAAGGTCCTCTACCCTCTGTTGCTCACACCCCCACCCTCTCCCTCCTGCTCATGCTTGGGGCGTATTTAGCACTGTGGAAACAACAATCCACACACAACTCCTTTCCTTTGGATGTGTCTCCCCTTCCCTGCCCCAAGCGGTGTGTGGCTTGACTCCACACTGGTCACCCATTCTCTTCCAGCTCAGCGCACTTCCCACAGAGCTGGTCCTGAGGATGGGGTTCCAGAGAGCACAAGGCACCCACATCATGTCTCAGGCGGTGCTGTGGAATGGCAGGAAGGTAGCCTTCAACGGGAGCCTCTCTGGGCCCTCCTCAGGGACCATGGGAACCGTCCATCTTCAGGGTGAGTAGCTGAGGGGCAGAAGGCATGGTCGGAGGTGAGTGACTACTTGTCCTTGGTGCTCTTCCAGGCCCTGGGGAATCTTCAGGATACAAGACAGCCCAAGGCCCAGACCTCAGAGGAGACAGGCAGAGAGCTAGAAACCCCCAAGTCATCAAAATCACAGAGGGTGGGATCACAGCACAGTTCATAGTGTTGCTTGTCTAGAATGTCTATTCCTCAGCACCTTAAAAAATAGTGGGGGTGGGGAGAAGGTGTCTGCAATCCCAATCCCCAGGAAGTAGGGACCAGAAGGTCAGGAGTTCAAGTTCATCCTTGGTTACATGAAACCCTGTCTCAAATAAATCAAAATTAACAACAAAAGTAAACCAGGGCCAGTGAGCTGGCTCTGTGGGCGGAGCGCCTCATCAGGTGCTGACCCTGTGCTGAGACCTGCTTGGCGGGGACACAACCAACTCCCACAAGTTGTTCTCTCGTTTCCACACTTGCATCGTGGCACACGCATGTGCACCCACAGATAAATGTAATAAAGACCCTAAGTTGTCCTGAATGAGACCCAGTGTCTTAAAGTGGTCAAGATCCCTGAGCAAAGTAACCCCCCAGACTCTTTCCAGCCCTACTGCCTACCTGGTCGTTAATGTCGCCAGGGGGTCCTGGTAAGCTCATGTATCTTACCATCAGCAACAGGCTAAGGGGAGGGGACTGTGTTGATCTCTGTGATCCCTACTGATCTCAGCCCTCTCTGCTGTCACCTAAATCTGGTTTGAAGCCAGCAGTAGCTGGCCAAGGCGTGCCCATGGTGGCCAGTCGGGGTTCAGGAGAGGAATGGCAACAGACCTCTAAAGGCCAAGGCTTGGCGGTGGTGCTCTGTTGGCCTCAAGGACCAGCAGCGTGTCCTGGGGCCAGGGCCAGGGCTCAGAGGTGACGCTGGGCCGGTGTGGGTCAGCTGCTCAGTGTCACTGGGATAGGAGGAAAGGAGAACAGAGCTCCCGTGGGGACTGTGAGAATGCTTTAAGAGGCATCGTGACTGGATGTGTGGGTTCCAAGTTCTGTAGGGCATGTGAGAGTGCAGCCGCCTGCCCGAGTGCTTGGTTATCAGTTGAGTCCCCGAATCAGTCTCCTGCCATGACCTTACATGAACTTGCTGACACCCTCTCCACCCCTCTTCTCACAGTGGAGTTTGCCAACCAGCTGTCTCTGTCCCTGCCACGGCGCTGCAGCCTCCGCCTGACCTCAGAATACTCTGGAGATAGCTATCAGGGTGACCTGGCTGTAGCCTGGAACCTCAAAGACCAGGTGGGCAGTGGGGCTGCAAGGAGACCCTGGGGGACCCCCCTCCTTGCTCAGGGATCATGGCTGGGGGTCAGCCAGCTGCACTAGGTGCCCAAAGGTGGAGGCAAGGGGCGTGGTTTCAGTCCCACATGCCAAACACAGCTGGAGTATACTAGGCCAGCAGAATGCAGGCAGGTGAATGGGTTTTTAAAACCCATTCCAGTTATAGGCACCATGGAGCAAGTATAAACTGGGGACTAGATTTGTAAGGCTGGGGGAGACTTGTGTGAGAGATGAGGCTATCAGCCAAGGACCCCAGGAATGTGAACTGTAGGACAGCAAGCACAAAGGCCCTGAGGCCAGGGCTAAGCTGAGGAGCTTCCCATGGAAGAGGAGAGGGCAGATGAGGGCTCATCCATCAGGACCCAGAAGGGACTGGCTGGCATCCTGTCACCAAGCTTTCCAGTAGGGGACTCTGAACACCTACAAAGAGGGACAGAAGTCTCTAACCCCACTTCCACAAGAAAGATGAAGGCAGCCACAGCCTTGCCAGCTTTTCCCTCACAGAGGTGGTGACAGTCCATCCTCTGCTTCCCCCTCATGTAGGTGCAGCGATCCTGGGACAGTGGCTCACCTGTGACTCTGAAGATCGCGTGGGCTAACAGGTCCTCTACGCACAGTGTGGCCTGGGATGGCCGCCTCGCTGCCTCCCTGGGTCAGGTACGAGCTGGCTCCCCGGTGAGCTCTCACTTAGGCTCCTCATTCTGGGTCTTCCAGCAGGCCTCTGCTGACCTTCCTGTTCTTGTCAGGGAACCTGGAGCCTGGGCCCACTGCAAGCCTGTGGGTCCCTCTCTCTGACCCCGGTCATGTTCAGTGAGCAATTTGATCTCTCCTGGGGCCGACACCGGCTGCAGCAGAACGTGACGTATGAGGTGAGGCCCAGGGAGGCTCCGAGCAGGTCATCTGCATGGGGCCTTACCACCTATTGGAAGTACCTGGCTTAAGGCAGCGTGGTTCTCTGTTCAAGTGCTGGCTGTGCCATGGAACCCAGGCCACCCATTCCTCTGGATGAGGCTTGCTTCACCTGAAATGGATATGGTAGTCATATCCTACCAGGAAGCAGGTCAAACACTCAGGCTAGTGCTACACATAGTGGAGCAGCTGGTAGTGTTAGGCGTCTGCTAGACATGGGGCAGGAGGTGAGGGCCGTGCTCAGTCTCTCCCGCCTAACTAGGGCTTCCCGTGGGGCTAATGCAGAGCTTCAAGGTGTGAGACAAAAGCCAGTACTGAAATGGGGACAGCTGGCTCTTAGAGTGTACCTACCCCCTCAGCCTTCTGCACCCCTGGGCTTCGGAGACCCTGTAGTCCCAAGCTGGGGCAGCTGGTCCCTGTGTGGGTGACAGTGACCCCTGCAGGTGCTCTGGATAGTCTCTCTCTCCAGAAACATCAGTTGCGCCCTTGGGACAAGGTTCACGCAGAGGCCACACTGGAGCACATCCTCCTGGCCCCTTGTGCCCAGCACAGCTTCCGGGGGACAATGGAGACCGACTACAAGCACAGGTTACGCCACACCCTCCACATGGGGCTTTGCAACTTTCCCAGGGTGAGTCTGCTGAGAGGGACGGGCTGCAGGAGGACCAGGGGCCCTGAGGAGGGGTAGCTCCTGGGACAGGCGGGCTGTCACACCATCGGCATGGCACCTGTCTTCTCTCAGTCTCTAGTTTATGTGAGAGAAGGAAGACATATATAGGGGAGATGGTGGTATTCAGGAGGATGTGACACAGATGTGTCACCAAGAGCTGTCACCACCACCGTTGCTGAAGTGCACACTGGGACCCTTTCCTGCCACTACCCAGGGCTTACTACCTGAGCCTCTTCCCCTACTCCTACTCTCAGGTACTGCGATCCATCTATCTCTTATTCTTTCCTGTCCTGCCCCACATCCACACAATACCCTTCCCACCTGCCCTCCCATCTGTCTATCCATTTACTCACCCACACACCCATTCCTCCACCCCCCTCTTCATCCGTCCCTCCCGGGGGCCGCAGACTCTTCTGTAAAAGACAGGCAGAGAGTATCTGAAGCTTAACAAGCCACTGGGTCTCCTGTTGTTACTCTCACTGTGCTGTGGAAGCAGTGTCTCTGGGCTGAGTGAGAGGTAAGGCAGGGACTGCTCTCCCGGAGGGCTGTCCAGAGAGGAGGAAATCGGGGCAGACCAAGGTTGTATGACCAGGACCTGGGGGTGCTGGGAAGGGTGGGAACGGTGCTTACAAATGACTTTGAGGCACCTGCAGGCCCTGCAGAGGTCATACACAGCGCCTGTGCAGGGCACGCATCAGTGTTTCAGGAGCTTTGCTGGAGATGGCTCGTGGGTGGGGCAGTAGAGCCTGCCTCTCCCATAGCCTGCTACAATCGTCCAGGTGGGAGGGGTCACAGCCTTGGCCAGGGTCCAGTGGGGACCAATCCACTTTCACTGTCTCCTGACCTCTGGAACCTCTGCTGTATTCCTTCAGGCCCTCTCGTTCTCTGGGGAGCACAGTCTGGACCAGGGTGCACTCCTGCTGCATTCTCAATACCAGCTGGGTCTTGCCCCAGACCCTGACTAGGGCTTGCACTTTAGCCTAACCCTGTACAACCGCAGCCGACCAAATGTACCTGACTTCTCTGGGCAGCTGGAGGTATATGTCCAATTTCTCCCAGTTTTCTATGCTAGCAGCCCCATTGCCTGGATAGCCACGGCACCTAGTGACCAATGGTGGAACTTCTGGTTGCAGGTCCAGGACTTCCTTTCTGGGGACACTTTTGAACCTGAGGCCCACAGAGTGGCTCCTCTATCACCCCATGGCCCTTCTCTTTTTATAACCAAGAGGTGTGGTCTATCTTGTTCAAATAGGACAACGATAGTGATTCAGTCAGGGTTCTCTAGAGGAACAGAACTGATAGAATGGATATATATAGAGAAAGGGGATTTATTAGAGTGCCTTACAGGCTGTTGTCCTGCTAATCCAACAATGGCTGTCTAAGGATGAAAGGTCCAAGAATCCAGTAGTTGCTCAGCCCATAAGGCTGGATGTCTCAGCTGGTCTTCAGTAGATGCCAGAATCCCAAAGAAGTAGGCTCCAGTGCTAATGAAGGAATGGACTTGCTGTCTGGAGTAAGGGCAAGCCAGTAAAGAAAGCTTCCTTCTTCCGAATCCTTATATAGGCTGCCAGCAGAATGTGAGGTCTAGACTAAAGGTGGATCTTTCCCTCCTCAAAAGATCTGTATTAAAAGTGGATCTTCCCACTTAAAATGATTTAATTAAGAAAAAAATGCCTCAACAGGTGTGCCCGGCCACTTGGGTTTTAGTCAATTCCAAATGTAGTCAAGTTGACAACCAAAGTAGCCATCACAGATGGCATTTCTAGATGGAGTCATGCCCAGAGGCCATGACCATTTCTAGGCAAGATGCTGAGGCTCTGGGTCTACCACTACTTAACTAGCAACAAGGCCTGCTCTTCCCAGCATCTATAAACTGATGCTCCATACAACATCCTGAAATCAGAGGCAGAGTAAGGTCTGAGGCCAAGCACTTGGCAGGTGCCCAAGGCGTGAGGTCCCCACCCTTCACTCTCCTTACCCTACTCTGAGGTCTGTGAAGTGCACAGCCCTGGTCCCTGAACAGAGGAAGGACACACTCAAGGACCGGTCCCCAGCTATACCAAGACCTGTGGGTTCTTGTTCTCTGCTCACTAACTAGCAGGGCTGAAGCTGAATCGAGGGTGGGCTCTTCAGGCCCCAGACACTGCTGTCAGTGGCTGCTGGCTGTCCTTGGCTTGTGGTGCTGCCCCACAGGCCCTGCCCCAGCCCCAGGCTTTAACACCTTTAGTAATGCCGTGCTTTGTAGTAGCATTGCAACTACTTTTACTGTTTATGGCCTCCACTTCCCTTGACCACCTCTGCAAAGACGTCAGACCAGTGAAAACAACCAGACTCCTAAGACTTAAGCCACCTCTGATTTCTGCTGAGCTTTGAGAATTACTGATCCATGCAATTTTACAGCAAGGAGCCAGGACTCATTCAAGGTTGCACAGCTTGTCAGCGGTGGGATCTAGCTTAGAATCTAGGCAGTGAGACCAAGGCAGGCATGGCTCTCATCTCCAGGTGCCTCTATCAGTCTCTTTTCAATGGTCCCATTTCCCTGGGACCCTCATAGCCTTTGATCTTGATCCAGTTCATGCAACAATCACTTGTCCTGTCCATCCTCTCTCAAGGCTGGGTGCTTACAAGGATTTGGGTAAATGCAGTGACCACATATTACCCACATGGGCCCCTTGAACTTGCTAAGATCTTTGCAGTAGTTTTCAAGAAAACTTAGAAGGCCTGGGCTGCAGAGAGAAACATTTGGACACTAGGACTGTCAAAAGAGAGGTGCCTGGAATCCCCAGACCCACTGCATCTAAGGAGTGTGCAGACAGGGCCTTGGGTTCTGAGCCTCCTGGCCAGTGGGTTGCTGGGAAGATGCCTGCAAGGTGGGCTTTGCTGTATATGCTTTACTGTACATAGGGGGGTTCTGAGCTGGATGGCAGGGAAGCTAATGTTCCTAGAAGAACGGAACGGGCATTTTCCAATCCCTTCTGTACTTATTCAGCCTCAGCCCTTCCCGAGTACAGAGCAGGCAGAGGTCAGAGACCAGAGCAGCCCCAGTAGCCAGGCCCACCCAGGTCTCTATTATCTGGTTCCTAGCTCCATGGCCCCAGAGCTCAGCAACTCAGCTTGCTGGGGCGCGTCTCTACCTCAGCCTCCCAGAGCCTGGTCCAGCTGGAAGGCAGTATGGAAAAGGAGAAACTAAGGCTTTTGGTGTCCCGGGCCCTGAGCTGTCTTCAGGCTTCTGCCATCCATGGGGAAGGTAAGTGGAGGGTGACAGGTCCCCAAGTCAGCTGGCTAGGTTAGGCCCCATCTTTGTCCAAGGGTGGACAGGGGGTCCCTACTCCTGTCCTGTTGTGAGCTTAGAAACACAAGACCAACCCAAATTTGGGGTGAACTTTCTGTCAACACCTGTACTGACTTTGCTGGGTCAGGTAAGGCTACCAGAGGTGTGAGCTGGCTGGGCTGCTCAGAGGTGGGAGAAGGGATTACTTAGGGGGTACAGCCCAAGGCTCTTGAACCTTAATATCTTGAGGCTTTGTGTAGGGCACTGGGGAGACAGGCAGAGAAGGCATGTATGCAACTTCCCTTCCTGGCTCCAGGGAGCATAGAAGAGAGTATGATGCTGCAGGCATGCATCCTCAGGAGAGCTGTGGAGGTGAAGGCCCTCCTCCAGAGCACTGAGCAGTCTGCCCAGTCACTGGGCCACCTGACCCTGCAGGCAGCTCCCCAGGGCCTCCTCCTAGCTGCACACGGCAGCCAGGGGTTCCTGCTGAGCCACATGGAGGTAAGAGGGCCTGGGATGGAGGGCTGTTGGCCGGGAGTCCAGAGTCCTTTACTGCAGCAGTGCCCAGAAAATCAGCCTAGACAGTTGAGGACAGCACACACATTCTCCAGTCCCTGGAGGATGCTTCCTCGACTTCTCACCTGTCCTGCTCTCCCACAGTCCAGGATGACAGCAATAGGATCCCAGGTGCGAGCCCAGCTCGAAGAGAGACTCCAGAGCCTGGATGGCTATGTGAGAGGCTTTCAGAACCTGGTGGGTAGCCCCTGTATGGACGCATGTAGGGGGGCCTCTGGCCTGTGCCTCAGCTCTCCAGCCCAGAGTGGCTGGAGAGTGCTGGCCCTATAGTCTTCCCACTGACCTTGCCTTGGTTTCCCTGCCTAGGTACAGCCAGTAGGCACCCTGAGCAATGCAGCAGAGTGTCTGTTGCAGTTGACTCAGGTAGGGCTAGGTGCTGTTCAGACAGGTGGCCAAATGGTGGCCACCTTGTGGCACCGAAGCCAGGCCAGACACATGCTGACCTGTCGCCTGCCTGTCTACCTGGAACAGCTGCAGGTGGGGCTGGAGCAGCTGCGGAATGAGTTGGAACGTGAGTACAGGAGAGGCACAACCCAGCACCAGTTGGCCTCAGCCCCAGCCCCGGGGGCCTTGGGCCTCCAGATTCATTCTCACACTACTATCTCAGTCAGAAAATTTTCTATATCAGTCAGTCTAATTTCTTTAGAACCCCCCCCCCAGCACCTTATTTCTTAGACATTTGCAACCTCCATGGCCTTTTGGCATGCTTTCTTCATCCATGTAGGCTCCAAGGTAATGCCTGCTTATGCCCGCTGCCAGGGTTACCCATCCTCGGCCTGACTCCTCTCACAAGCAGCCTCGCTGGGAGGTGTCGGGCTGCCACTGGGTGTCTGTCTGTGGGCTCCGATGAGGCTTCCATCCTGGTCAGCACTCAGCCCTGCCCTGAGCAAGCTGAGAACCAGGCCACCGCACACTTAAGGACCACTCCTGGCCCTTATGGCTCCTGAGACTGTTGTCTGACACTAAAGCAGGCAGTGGGGACTTGTTTCTGTCCCTAGCTCAGAGTTGGCTATAGCAGAGTCCCTGTGCCAGCAACTGGCCAGGAGCACACAGATGTCCCTATGGCTGTGACTCACAGCAGCTCAAGGGTACAGAGAAGAGCAGAGTGATAAGAAAACACTGCATGCAGACCCAGAGCTTCATTATGTCACACTGGAAGGCATTGACTTTCCCAGGATGCAGCTGTGATGCCTGTGGAAGTATTCACCAGGAAAGCCCTAAGGAGATGCACAGGGCTTCTACCAGAGTTGTCACATGGCCTTCCAGCTGGAGGGGGGCACATATCTGCATAGTGGGTGGTGGCCCTTCCTATCAATTCCAGGCAACCAGGTCAGCAGTGCTACCGCCCATTGCCTTATTTCTACCCCATCCTCTACTCCAGGCATCTGCCCGGTGTCCTCTAGGCCTGGGATGTTGGGCTTTCCTGGCTTGCGCTTCAGAGGTTCTCATCAGTAGCCAGGAGTCCTGAGGTCTCAGGGTGATTACCTGTTGCAGAGCCCCTGGCCACGCTGAACGAGGCCTATTCGGAGGTGATGCCGCAGCCCCTGGAGGAGGCGTGGCAAGAGCGGGCTGAGGAGGCCAGGCAGTGGCTGCAGGCCTGGCTGCTCAGGCTGCTAGGAACTTGGCGGCTGAGGCCCATCCAGATGGCCCTGGGAGCTATGATGGGTACCCTGGAACTGGTGAGGGTGTGTGTGATGGGGGGAGGGGGCTGGGCTCAGTGAGGGTAGCTCTGACAGCTATCATTGCCCACCTCCAGGCCACCCACCATACGTTGTCCTGGGCTGAGGCGGAGGTCTCCTGGGCCTTGAAGCGGCTCTGCAAACCCCTGCTAAACATGTATAGTTACTCAGCCAGGTAAGCGGGGGTGAGACTTCTGACTCCAGTGTCCCTACAACATAGCAGGACATGGCAAATGCCTGTACCTGGTCCATGTCACTCTTAGGGCAACACTGCCATCCGTGTGGTCCTCATTTGACAGGGGGGAAACTGAGGCTCAGGCTCTGCACAAGCTCTGTTCACATCCTAGTTGGCTTTGCAAAAGGCTTTAGCTGTGGGGAAGACATTCTTGGCCAGCAGCCTGGATACGGCCTGATGGGCAGGGTACCAGACTATGAGCTAGGTGGCAAATCTAATAGGATTTTAGAGAAGGACTGCTGAAAACAATGCTCAGAGAAGCGACTGAGGGGGAGGGACATGCATGATGGTGCAGTTTGGTTGAGAAGGGGCCAGAGGGCTCCTCGTTTTGTGTGTGTGTGTGTATGTGTGACATACATTTCTGTGGGCCCACATGTGAAAGCTGAAGTTGATAGAAGAGTCTTTATTGTTTTTCCAACTCACTCATCGAGGCAGGCTCTCTCAGTCAAACAGAGTTCATGGATAGGGCTAGTGTTCCAGCCAGCTTGCTCTGGGGATCTGCCCTCTGAGAACGGAAGTACCAGGCTGTCATGCTCACTTCCCCTTTATGTATGTTTCTGAGTATCTGACCTCTAGTCCTTGTGCCTAAGTGGCAAATACTTTAACCGTGGAGCCATCTCCCCAGTCCAGAAGTGAGCTTTGGGCAGGCAGTGCTAGGTAGGGCACACAAATAATGCAGAGTGGGGGTGGTGAGTGGTGCTGTGGCACTGTGGCACCTGTTTGAAGAACCGTAAGGAAGCCAGCATGACTTGAGCAGGCTCCAGGTGGCCTCGGGCGCCAGCTTCTGCTTGGAGTTGGGCACAGACACAAGGGCTTTGGCCCAGGGAAAGGTGGATCTCTGTGTTTCAAAAGTTCAGTTCCCATTGTCCCACATGTTGAGGATAGATTATGGAGATGGGCAGAGTGCAGAGCCCTGTTTGGAACCATGTGGCTGGCTGATTGCTGGAGCAATAACAGCATGGAAGGAACAAGAGGCAGTCAGAATCCAGCTGTGCCGCTAGGGTCATCCTGGAGAGGTTGGGACTCGACTGCACACAGATGGTAAAAGAGAAATGAGACAATTCCGAAGTATTCGGCCTCAACAGCTGACAGGATGGAGGTCCCTCAGCCTGGGACAAACTGGCCGAGGCTTCTGCACGTCTAGCCAGTGCTGTGTGAGCAGAACTGTAGTGGCCTGAATCACAGGAACTGCTCTTCTACAGTGCTAGAGGGCTGGAACGAGGGTGCTGGCACCTTAGGTGATTGCTATTAGGTGGGAAGGAATTCGCTTTGGAGAAGTGCAGGCAAAGAGGCAGCCTCACAGGAAGGCTTCTCCAAGAATGCCTGCAGTTTCTCTCTGCCCCAGGAGGGGGCAGCATTTCCTGGCTATGGAAAACTTTGGCCTAAATCTTGGTTGGACTATTACTCTGCCTCGGTTTCCCCACCTGTAAACTTGAGACATACCTCCTAGGAAAATGAATGGAGAGACAGTTGAAAACCTGTAGGGGCTTGTGTAGGAAAAAGATGGACTTGAGAAGATGGGACTGGGTGGAAAGAGTAGGGTCTACTGTGACAGTGAGGTCTATCTCTTCCCCTCCCTCAGCTTCCCTTTGGCTAGGCTCCTGTTCTAGCCCATTCAGCACATCCTACTGTGCCTGTATACGGATGACACAGCACCCTGAGGTGGACTTTGCCTCCCTCAGTGTCTATACCCGTCTCCATTACCCCACTGCCTACACTGTAGCCCACGGCGCACAATCAGACAGCTGCGCCCTTACTGTAGGGCCTTGGTCCATCTTATACACTTCCCCAGAAAGGCAGGCCCTCTCTAAGGGGACAGCCTCTGTGATTCTTTTTCCAACGTGACATCACTGTCCTTCAGGGAAAGGATGTGGGCTCAGTGAGACATCCCGCTTGCTTGGGGTTCCAGCTCCTCTGTGTCCCTTCCAGGAACTACTCCGTGGTGGTGAGGCTGCCGCTTGTGCCCGTGGGGAATGGGCCCCTGGATGCAGCCCAGCTGGTCAGGTACCTGGTGGAGGAGAAACTCCTGTGGCCACTCCGCAGACTGTACGAGGCTAATGTGGTGGCCGAGTTCTATGGGTTCCAGCGGCGACTACTGAGGAGCCCCTTCAAGTGTGAGTCCTGCCTCTGCCTGTGGAGTGAAAGCCTAGCAGGTGCTCTGGCACTCGATGACAAGTAGCCACAGAAGAGCCTGCCAAAGCCCTGTGGCATCCCCGCAAGTTTCTGGGCTTGGGGAGGTCATCCGGGGCTACAGACGCTGCCTGGATTTTGTCCAGAATATAAGTCCTGTGCCTGACTAAGGGGGAGTACACAGCAGCTGGGGGCTCCTGAGGCCAGCCTTCTCCCAGGGGCCTGGATGGGGGAGGCACAGAGGGCTGGGCTCCAGCTGTAGCTGGAAAGCTGCTGAGTGCATGCTTACTGGGAAGTCTGCTTCCAGGTCATACTGCTGCATAACTTCTTCAGCCTGTTTCCTCCTGTGTGGGATAGAAGGGATACCATGGCTGGCTTGTGTGGGCTCTGAGCATGCAGTCTGAGCCTACGCCCTCAGTGCAGAGGGGGCATAGTGCCAGGCCTGGCATGGAGCAGTTGTGTGATGGCACTCCTGAGCTCTTGGGAGAGTCTGCTTGATCCTGGGAGGCAAGTTTATACTCCATGTTGAGCTGGCCTGGCCTCTTCTCAGATCATGCTGTGGTGGCTGGCGCCAGGTACATGGTGACCTTTGATGGGCAGGTGTAGGGCTTGGGTCCCCGCTGTGGCAGCTTCCTGCTAGCCAAGGACTTCAGTCACCAAACATTCTCTCTGATGCTGAGTCGCATGAGCTCAGGGTTCACCGCCCTTCGAATAGAGCTGAACCACACAACCCTTGTTCTGTATCCTAGCCTAAAGGTGAGCGCACGGTAGGGGGAAGGACTCCTGGAGCCTCTTGTCTACCTGCTGTCTAAAGTGACTCTAGGCGCATCCCTGTGGTCTGCAGGCTTACAGGCTTTATGACACTGCTTGGCCTTGGGATGGCTGCTGGGATTTAGACCCATCTCCTGCTGTGCTGAGCACAGGGCCGAAGGTTGAGCTGAGCAGCGAGGATGGTGTGTCTGTTGCCTGTGATGTGCCAGCAGGCCTCTGTAGCCTGACACTGAGCCTTTGGCACCATGGTATGTTGGAGCTTGGCGCTGCCCACAAAGGCCTTTTCTAGCTACCCCATGGCCAGACTCCAGGCCAGAGGGTAATGTCCTCTTTCTCAGTAGCACTGCTGTTGGCCTCCCTGGGGAAGAAGAGCATAGGCAAGAGCTGGAAATAACGCCAAAGGCTGCCTTTTCTGATGGTCACCTCCCTGCTGGAGTGGCAGTGACTCATGGCCTCCTTCCTAGTGTGACACACTGCCTTCTTCTCAGTCCTGGTGGTTCCTGTCCTGTTACAGATGACCCAGCAGAGGCTGGGTGACTCACACCAGCTCCCAGGGTCAGCATCTGGCTCCAGGGCTTCTCACCCAGCTTGGCTTTCTTCCCTGGGGTCAGTCCATACAGAGTGAAGTCAGCTCTCATGAGGTCCCCAACATGCAGCTACGCCCCAAGAGGTGCCCTGGAAAGCGTGCTAAGTGGCCCTTTGGGCAGGGACAGTGGGGGAAGTACCGCAAGGCACAGATCCTCTTTAGATTCCCCCTCCTGAGGGCTCTGGTGTTTGGGGAGTGGGGAGAGTGAAGCTTTCCCAACAGGTCCCTCCTGCTCTACAGGAGCATCTGCTGGCCTTCTGGGTACCAACAACAATGAGGCAGATGATGAGCTAATGTTGCCAGATGGCACAGAAGCTGCCAACCTGGAGGAGCTCACCCAGGGCTGGCAGGTAAGCTGTGGGGAAACCCTTTCTGCCAAGTGTACCTCTAGGCTCAGTGGAGGATGCTGCGTGGGTGCAGGGTGAGCAGGTCTCTCCCTCCACTCGGGAATCCAGGCATCTTTTGCTGGGGTGGATGCACAGCAGGCAGTGTGCCCTGGAGAAGAGTGATCTGTGCAGAGGAGTGAGCCTTGTGTGTTTCCACCCAGGTAAATGAGAACTGTGGTCCTGTAGAGAGGGCACAGCAGCCATGCTCAGGGCCCAGCACCACCTGCCAGGCCTTCTTCCAAGACCCCCAGTCCAGCCTGGGGAACTGCTTCCTGGTGGTGAGTGCTAGGCTGGGCCTGGCCAGAGGCCACTCAGCAGAGAAACCACAGGGTAAAAGAACCCTGGTCCAGCCAGTGCCTTTCCAAGAGCGCAGTAGGCAAGCGCAGTGATGGGCTGGCATTGGTTTCAGGTGGACCCTGCTCCATTTCTCAGACTGTGTGTCCAGGATACCTGTGACCCTAAGGAGCTCCACCCTGCCTGCCACCTGGCAGTTGCCTACATCGACTTGTGTGCCCAGGACTCTGTGCCCTTGGCCCTTCCTCTGCAGTGTGCTAAGTTCTCACCTTGGTCTAGCCTTGGTCTCACACCCCACGTGGAAAACCAGTGCCATCCTCTGAGCTCCTAAAGCGATGACAAGTGCTCAGTTCCACAGTGAGCAGAGGCCCAGGAAAGCTGTATGCAACGTGGGTTTTATGAAGAGAGCTAGCCTGGTTGGCAGGGACAGGAGGTCAGCCTGGGCTACGTAGCCAGACTTTGTCTTAATAAAACCAAATAGGGCTGGAGAGACAGCTTGGTGGTTAAGAACTCTTGCAAAGGACCTGGATTCAATTCCCAGCGCTCACATAGAGGCTCACAGCTGCCATAGGAATGGATGCTCTGACCTCCAAGGCACCAGACACACATGGTGCACAGACATACATGCAGGCAAAACACTCCTACATAGAAAATAAAAATTAATACAGTTGCTTAAAAATAAAAAAAGCCAGACAAAAAAGGTTGAGAGAGCTTGGCTGATGAAGTACTTGCTTTACAAGCATGTGTTGGAGCTCCAGAACCAGGGAAGAAAAAAAATCTGAGTGAGGCGGTGTGCCTGCGATGTTAGTTCTGGGGATGCAGAGACGGGTGAATCTCAGGGCTTGACCAGCCTAGACTTAACTAGGCTAGTTCCGGGCTACTGAGAGACCCTGTAAAACAATGAACATTTCCTGAGAGATAAAGGGATAACACTTGAGACTACTGCCACCAAGCCAGGTGTCTCAAACACTCTAAGGACCATCTGAATCCTGTGCGTTCAGAACCTGTAAAATAGCTCTGAGGTGACATGTCTGTGGCCTGTGAACCCAACACAAACTGGCAGCTGATGGCCACATTTGCTTCTTCATCCAACACACAAGTCATAGCTGCAGTGCATAACAGTGGGAAATGCCAGAGACCTTCATACCCATAATTCAGGGCAGCCTGGGATTCTTAAAGGCATGGAAGAAGACATTCAAAGATGAATACCAGGCCAAAAGAAATGTTTAAGAGTAATGTAAGAGTCGGGAGTGTGACACTCATGTTAAACTAAAACATCAGAAGAGAAAGTTAGTGAAATGGAAAATGTGACTCAGAGTGTGGAATGAGGACCTGGTGTGCTCCCATAAGATAGTGAGAAGTATGAGGCTAGAGCCCTTAATCACGAAGCAAATGCTATCCATACTCTTACTAGGTCCATAAAAGACCTGCAGAACCGAGGGGCCAGAAAGTCTTGTCCCATCCTAGCGAGAGACCCTGTCCCAATAAAAGGACAGGCAGTGCCCAAGGAACCATCTGGCAGCTGTCCTCTGCCCCGACATGCGTGTAACTATATACAAGGGGTGTTTCTGCTTGCAGGCTGCCCGGATCCCAGATTCCTCTGGGAATGGAAGGGAGACAGCAGAGCTTGTCTGCAATGAGCTTTCACTCATCTGGGGCCTTGCTTGGGGCTGGTTTCTGTCTCAGCCTACGCTGTGCTCTGAACACTGGTATAGTCTAGGTATCTGCCTGGAGGCCTGTGGAAGCAGAACCATAGGTGGCTGGGCTAGCAGACCACAGCAGCACCAGATTCTCACAGCCGAGGACATCTAGACTTAGAGATCTGAGGGGCCCCAACAGGCTGAGCCAGAAAGAGTCCAACAAGCCAAAGCCAGGCATGGTGGCACGGGCTTGTGGACCTAGCACTGAGGAGGTACAGACAGGCAGGTCTCCAGGCCCCCTGAGCTGACTAGCCTCAGCTAATCAGTGAGCTCAGTGACAGACTTGCCATAATAATAATAATAATAATAAAAGGTGGGTGGCGCCTGAGGGTGTCCGAGGATCTGAGGGTCCTTAGGCCTCCACACTCAACATGCACACACAGAAGGACCTGAAGCTAACAACTGAAGTTTACACCCCCGTTATCAGAAAGAGAAGGAAATTCAGACTTGAGCAGAGATAGATGGGACATGAAGTAGAAAATGAGTAAAATCCACAAAGCAAACATTTAGTTATACTAATGAGAGAAGACTCAAATAACTGAGATGGGAAATGAAATTTTAAAATCTAGACAGAACTACTACAGATAGCTTCCACAAACTAAGCTGGATTCCTTCTTAGTTTGTGGAAGCTATCTGCAGAGGTCATGTGGAGTCTTCCTGGGATCTATGCCCATGCTCAGCAGCTTGACAGCCTCTGTTAGGGCTTGGGTATATTCTCCCCCTGTACTCTCTCAGGCATATTTTCCCTTGTGCTGGATGCAGCAACTCTGTCCTGCATGGGCTCAGTTATATTCTCTGCTCCCAGAGCCTCAGGTGTTGACCCAGCTCTTTGCTTTGGTGGGGTATTACATCTTGGTCTTCCCTCTTGATGAGAGGCCCTTGGCAGATGCTTGTTAGTTGTGGGTGTGTGGGTGGAGTGCTTCAGGCCTGCACACTGCCTCATTGGTACGAGGGAACCACAACATGCCTGCTATGCTTTTAAAGTGGGGAGATGGTGATGGGGTGACTATCCTTTAAATGAGGGCCAGGGGCTACCTCAGAGACCCCTAGCCCGAAAAGATTCGGCCTTCCTTTTAGGCCTCACAGCACAACCTTACTTCTCTTTTATTATAGTTTGAGATTTTGCCCAAGGCAATACAAGGCTGCCAAAGATGTCAAGCTCTTCACCTTCTACCCCAATCCTAGTTTCTGGGCGAGGTCAAGGTTCTTTGCTGGAAGAGAATCACCCGTGCAGAAGGCTAGGAAACCCAAGAGGAAAACAACACTTGCTGCCAAGCGCAGAGAGGAAGGGCTGAGAACCAGCTGCACTCTCCCAGTGTCTCCAGGGCTGAGGGACTCCCAGCTGGCCCAGGGAATTTATTCTCAAACTTCACTGGGAGGCAGCCAGGCCCAGGGACACACCTCTGGGAACACACTCCACACCGCACCCACACTTGCGCAAACTACTGCTTCACTCACCCAGCAACTGTTTCTGAGCCTTGAGATGACTGTGACCAAGTGGCTTCCCCTGCCACTCTGGGAGGAGCCAATGTCCTCAAAACTGCTTAGGGAGCTTCCTTCTCCAGAATGGACACACAGGGTGCTTCTAGGGCATGGGGAGAAGGCTCGTTTTCAAAGGACATGTGACATAAATATGTGGAGGCCTTGGGCCACTAGACAGCAGGGGTTTTTTGTTGTTTCTCTTAGGAAATAGGCTTTTCAATTGCAAAATAAAGCTGGAGAATTCAAGAGTGTCTGTGGGATTGATTGCTTGGGGCTGTCCAGCCCTAGCGTCAGAGAAGCAGAGGTTTTGGTGGCCATGAGCCTACCTACCAGGAGGGGGCACTCTTGAGCCCTTTCTCCACTGAACTATCTTTAGTTTCTCCCCAGGGCTTTGTGCAGGCTGGGGCTAGCATTCTGCTGCTGAGCCTTTGAAGGGGGAGGGGAGTGGGGGACTGGGTATGCACCGCCAGAAATGGGACAAAGAGAGGTAGGAAGGCAGGCGCCAAACTCAGCCAACCCTGTTGCAAAACAGGTGTCTAGAAAAAAGATCTGAGCAGAGGGAAGTGAGGCCAGTCCTGCTCACCCTCTAGAGCAGTGGTTCCCAACCTTCCTAACGCTGCCACCCTTTAATACAGTTCCTCATGCTGTGGGGACCCCAACCACAAATTATTCTGTTGATACTTTGTAACTCTAATTTTGCTACCTAACTGTTATGAATCGTAAATATCTGATTAGCAGGATATCTGATGTGACTCCTGTGAAAGGATCACTCGACCCCCAAAGGAGGAGGAGGAGTGAGACATGGGCTGACTGATGGAGTGAGTACCTGCAGCTTTTCCAGTTCCATCCAAATGAGCCCCATGGCCTGAAACTGCTCAGGATGTTTTTGAAAGATGTTTGACCTTTTCTTAGACTTACCGTAGCCCAACGAGAAATGTCTCTCCTAGTTCCCTCACTTAAAGAAGCCAGCCTGGAGCCCAGGTGTCACTGAAGTAGGCCTGTCTGCCTCCTAGAGCTATATAAGCCCCCTCACCCCAGGAGTGTGTCATGGCTCAGCAGATAAAGGCCCTTCCTACCAAACCTGACGGTGAGCGTTCAGTCCCCAGGCCTACACAGAGAACTGGCTTCCTTCACATTGTCCTCTGCCGTTCACATGTACACCGAGGCAGCCCCCTCCCCAGGAAAACGTTAGCCATGTCCCAAGCTGCAATGTGCAGTACCTACTCAAAATGCTTTGTCAATGACAAGCTGATGTCATAGTCCATCAGAAGGAACACCTGGGGCTAAAGAGCTAGCTCAGCAGGTAAACATGCTTTCTGCTCAAAGCTGGGGACCTGAGTTCAGATCCCAAGCACCTGTGTGAAAAGCTGAATGTGGCTGCATGCTGGAACCCTAGTCCTGTGGGGACAGACGCAGAAGGCCTGCTACAGCTTGCTGGCAGCTGGCCTAGCTCTAGGTTCATTGAGATACCCTGTCTCGAAGGAATAAGGCAGAGCGATAGAGTAGGTCCCCTGATGGCCTCCTCCAGACTCCACACATGCCTGGATGCACACACCTGCACATAAGTGCACATAACACATACAAACAGGAATGTGCCCTCGGAGGTAAAGTAACTGCCATGCAAACTCCAGGACCTGGGTACAGATCCTGAGCATGCATGTGAAAAACTGGATGTGGCAACACGGCCCTGCCATATTAGTGCCGAGGAGGCGGGGCTTGCTGGACAGGCTAGTCTTGAGCAGTTGGTGAGAGAGGCCCTGGCCCAGCACGCATGACGGCTGACTCACACCACCTGTACCTCCAGCTCCGAGGGAAGCAATGCCTTCTTCTGGGCTTCCGGACACTTGCACATCAATCCGGAACTGCTCCCCTCTCCTGGAAACTGTCTGTTCCAGACTTTGGAAATAGCGCAGCTGTTGAAACAGCTCGGTGAGCAGAGGCTCTTGCTGCAGAGCCTGGCCACTGGATTCAATCCCCAGGCCTAGGCAATAGGAGAAAACTGTCTATGGATTGCCATACACACACATAAAAATAAATAAATGTAAAAAACTCTTAAAAGGTTACTTTTGTCTTTAATTTTTTTTATTTATTTATTTATTTATTTATTTATTTATTTATTTATTTATTTATTTATTTATTTATTTTGACA